TAAGCTTCATGCATGAACAACTCCAATGCAAAAAGATTTACTTCCAGTGAAATAAACTAATATATTACAGTTACAATGAAGTGTATTTTATTAGAAATTAAATACTAGACAGATAACATTGAAGATAATATACAAATTAGAAAAGAAACAACGATTAACTTTAATTTATCTTTAGAATAGTCAAATACAATAACCCACACAAACACAGTCAATAATTCGACTGCTCTTCAGTGTGATCAATTTAATGTAATAACTTCAACAAAAATACAAGAAACGATTCTATTTTAATTTTTTGGAAAACAGAAAGAAATTACGTAAACGGAAAGCTATTCGAATATAAATATCAGAATAATCAATTAGAAGCCTATGTAACATATACTTTTTGCTTAATTCTATTTATTAAAAATGACCTCAATCATTAAATTAATTGATAAAAATTAAGTTTGAAAGAAATGAAAATTGAAAAACGTGATAGTTTATCACATACCAGTTTGGAAATCACAAAAATCAACTGTGAATCCTTCCAATTGCATAATCTCTGTTGGATCCGATTTACGCTCTTTGTAGGATGCCATGATAAACGTATACTGTGATACCTATGGACAATATAAATTTAAAGGAAAAACAATACCGAAACTATATATATATATATATATATATATATATCATATTTTACTTTTAGTTCTCTATAGACAAAACTTTACAAACTATTATTGAAACAAATAATTGTAAAAATAAACTTTTATCTATGCAACTAAGGGGAAAACAAAAGTTAGTCCCACCATATAAACAACACAAATGTATAAACGAAGAATATTCTTTACAATAACGTCTTATTCGATTATACAACCACAGATCCAAATTACATTTTCAGAGACAACCAAAATTAAGACAAACTCATTCGTAATTATATTATTATTGCTTTCACCCTATTATCTACATTTATTCCGATTATTGACATTTTAGTTTCAAATGACCTATAACAATACACACTAATCATTTCAACACCAAACTTTTATCTTGCTAGCAATCCCTAATTCGTATATGATCATCTTTAAGGATGTATTTTTCTTCGATGTAACTACCACTTTGAAAAGTTACTTTGGGTATATAACTAAATCTAAATAAAGTAAACATCTACACAAGAAAAGCAGGAAATTGAAAAATACAGCCTAATGAATTCGAAAATAGTATACTATTGATGACTAGTATTTGACCCCGATGTGATAGAACGAATGATGTTATCAAAATATACATCCCAGCTACCCTCGAATATAATTATCGACTTAATTCACGTTAGAGAATAACGGAATAAAATAAGTCAAATACGAGTAAAGTTTGAATACGTGTATTCTGTACACTCAATGTTATGAACAGACAAACAGAGAAACGAAGCGGAGCGGAAGTGAGTGAGCCAACTCCTTTTGATCAGGAGTGACTCAATATTTATAGTCAGGCAAAAATAAGTTTCAGATATGTGATGAGTAAGATAAGCGATACGCACATATACACTCATGTAAAAATAGTAAAGGTCAACAGGCGAATAATTGACAAGGTCCAAATGTGGCTCAAGAACAATGAATATATCAATCTGTCTGGAAGCTATAATAACCCATGAAGGCTTAACATAGTACTAGATACTACAATACGAATTATAACGTCTCTTAATGTTGTATAAAAAAAGCTCAACATACATTTTAACCTTGACACTAACACCCTATTTTTGTCGCATAACAGCTAATAGACAACCTAGTAATGACAATACTGAAAAGCTATAAAACTTAGAAGAAAAACTTTGAATAAAATGAATCAATATTAAGCATCTGATTATATATTTATGGACCAGTGAAGTACATCATCTCATTGGCTTCCATTTAAAAAAAAAACGGGTTAAAAGTTGAAGGATTTTAAGTATACCTGATATATAGCCTTAATCACTCGAATATATCAATGTCATCAAAATCACAACACTAGCCGATAAGTAGTGTGAAAAACTTTTTTCTCCAGTCTTTTTATTTAGTTATTTTTAAGTAAGTTTCATTTACTATAGGGACAATTTTAAGGCCAACATCGAAAATTAAGGATACATATTTTTACACATAGCTGAAATTTATATCATCCTATTTTATACTTCACGCACATGATTTATGGGTTTAGAATAGTTATCGTAAAAGAATACAGGAAATAATGAGATAAAACACGTTTAGAAAAGAAAATTATAACTACATTTATGTATATCTTTGACACTAATGAGCAAAGAAAAAGAAAAACGAAAATTTGAAACGAGAGTTGAATTTGAAAGTTGAGAATACAACAAAATTTCCAAGTAAACTATTTGTTTATTTAAGGATGTAAACGGATTTTTTATACTTTTCCAATCAGTAATCAGCTATAATATTGTAATGTTTAACCTAAATAAGTATTGAGGCTAGTATTTTAGATGCTGTATTAGTCAAACTAATCCCTTTATGATAATCAGAGAACGATTTTAATCCTTCCTTATATATTGTGACAATCAGTGATTGTGACCACTCACAAAGGATTACATCTAGTTTCCAGATTTTAGCTAAAATATCAGTCAACCTAATCGCCAAAACTGGATATCCATCCCTAAAGACTACTGGAGTTAATCCATCTGGACTAGGTGACCTTCCTCGTTTCAGATTAACTATGGCTTTTTCAACTTCAATTAGAGTCGGGAGGCCTATTTCAATGTTCCATTCAGGCTGTTTGGAAATGGTGGGTAGCTGTAGAGTAATTGAAGGTCAGATTAACTAATCCTTAAATTGTTCTACGCAACGTTCTAAACGTCTAAACTAACAGCAGATAAGAGTGTCGTCTTTTCCCAAGATCACCTCACTCCCTCTTGCCTTCTTAATCTCGGTTTCTTTTATTAGTCTGAAAAGCCGTCTTATGTTACCTACAGCCGCTGCCTTTTCCATCTCTTTTGCTTTCGTTTCCTACCACTGCTCACGATCGTTCCGTAAACTCTTGGTTAACCTCGATCCGATTTGTTTTAGCTCATCATCGTATTCAGAGCCTGATGGGATGAGTCTACGAGAGTCTATCAGTGAAATAGATGTAGCAGAAATCCACTGGTTTCTCGTAACACTTTGGTTCAAATCACTAACAGATGTCACTGATATTTCCACAGCCTTTCGTATATCTTTCCAAGCAACGTCTAGGTCAGCCTCGTTTTCAGAACTACCTAAGTGTGACCTCAGTAGTTTCTGGAACCTACTTTCGATTTTCTCATTACTCAATTCAATTCTAATGAATCTTTTTAGTATGGCTTTCCTGCATCCAGTGAGGCGCAAGCAGATGCGTGCTCGTATTAGAGCATAGTCGGAGCCCAAACAGGTATTCTATAATGAGCGACAATCTTCTATCGACCCTCTCCAACGATGACTGATGGCAATATGGTCTATTTGAGTCCATTGTTAATTTGGTGCAGGGGGCCGCCATGTTAGACGATGTCTCTCCTTATGCTTAAAATTAGTGTCTGTTAAAAATAAACGATTGTCTGAGCACATTTGCAGCACACGATCACCATTATCTACTATCTTGTCTCTATCTACCATCAATTTCCTACTGAATTAAAATAAATATTACCGTCGTAACATTTTCAATAAATACTGTATTCAAGCCAAAACTGACAACAAAGTGTATCTCTATAAGCTATATCACAGAGTAACTCTGTTCAGTCATAATAGCAAGTAGTACTGCAACGAATAGAAAACTTTACAAGTGCTTGATTCAATTTGTCTTTGTACAATAGTGTGAAAATTTATTTTATCACAGTACAGGTATTTGTTTGAAATACAAGAAATTAAAACATTTGTGATACAATAAATACTAGCTAATAAATGATTAAAATTTTAATTAGTATATCGATATAGATTGATTGAATATTATGAAACATTACAGACCTGGTATATTATAACTACAAAATGGTTATCATCACTATACACTGATTTGGAGAAGATTAGCAAGTATGTGTTTGTGTAGATGTGAGTAAACTATCAGTAGTTTTAAAATTATCTATGAAATAAATTCACATTCATGATAAGTGACTACAAAACCAGTTAGTTAACTTAGTTTTAAACCAAAGTAATCAAGATAGAAGAGTTTATATGAGGTACTACATTTTTTTAAAAAGAAAGCAAAAATATTATTCACTAATAAGTTTCAAACACAAACGAGACACCTGTTTCATCCTTTCCAGCTTCTAATTGGTTCTCTATAAAATATTAATGCATAAACTAAATTACCATAAAAAAACAATTGTAAAAATGCTTAAGTCAACAACACATGTATAAATATCCACAAACATACACACATAAATCAACATTGAGTTTTGACTATTGAAGAAAACATTCCAAAAAATATTCCAATCCCCTTACGACAAAGAAATATTAGTGTTTTTACTGTACGCCTACATAAAACATAGAAGAAGATAAGCGATAGATGAGATCATTTTACGATAGTAACAAAAAGATCAATATTAATTATTTGAATGATTTCAAAATAATAGATTGGTCAATTTGCATAAATCTTTGTAACTATCTTAAAGGGTAGAGCATCTGTTTACTTATTTGACTATTAATTTATCTATCTATGTTTTTGCGTTACTCGCAAACAAACAAACTTGAATTATCCATTATGTCAGGTATCAAAGAACAAGATATTATCTGACGGGAAATAACTGTCATATCCCTCCAGAATACACCAATTTATTTCAGTGACAGAAATAAATAAATGACCAGAGAGAGAAGAAATTAAATGAATTGAAAAATTCTTTTCGTCACTAGAAAAATGAAAAAAATCCAAGTTTGAAACAAAGAAGATCCAACAGACGTCATACATTTAAAATTATAATAATACTAATAACTACAGTAAGATTAAAGGTAGGAAAAAAAGGGAAGAAAATAGAAAAAACAGTAGCAAGCCAAATAACCAGCTAGAAAAATACCTTTATAACTCCGCCTGTAGCTCTTATAGGGTTGCTGCCGGTCCCAAGCCCGGGTAAAGGAGGAGGGTTGGGCATGAGGTTAGCGTCCCCATCCCGTAGAAAACTAACTCGCTAAAAAAACGCTTACCAGAAAAAATAATCCAAACCATTTTAACTCTGCCCTGGGAGTTAGAAGGTCTTCATTTAGAAGAATTATGACGCTTCATGGTGAAAGCCGAGTTCCTTCGGAAGCCACGAGGCCGATGTCCCTTCTAACAACCAGAGCAAAAAATTTTATAGGTACATGGAACGTTCGAACAATGTGGGAAACCGGGAAGACCAGTCAAATATCAATGGAAATGAGGAGATACAACTTAGCAGTACTGAGAATCAGCGAAACCCACTGGACCCAAGCTGGACAGAAAAGGCTAGCTACGGGAGAGATGCTGCTATACTCCGGTCACGAAGAGGACAATGCTCCACACACTCAGGGAGTCGCTCTTATGCTGTCCAAAGTAGCACGAAATACACTTGTAGGATGGGAATCTCACGGATCCAGAATCATCAAAGCATCATTCAAAACAAAGAAGGAGGGGATCTTAATGAATATTATCCAATGTTATGCACCCACCAATGATAGCAACGACGAAATTAAAGATCAGTTCTACGAGCGCCTGCAGTCAATCATTGAGAAATGCCCAAGAAAGGACCTAACTATTCTGATGGGAGATCTAAATGCCAAAGTCGGAATAGACAACACTGGATATGAAGATATTATGGGACGACATGGACTGGGAGAAAGAAACGAAAATGGAGAAAGATTTGCAAATCTATGTGCATTCAACAAATTGGTCATAGGAGGCACAATATTTCCACACAAGCGTATACACAAGGCTACATGGATCTCACCGGACCACACTACAGAGAACCAAATAGATCATATTTGCATCAACAAAAAATTCCGAAGGACAATGGAAGATGTGAGAACCAGGAGAGGTGCTGACGTAGCTTCAGATCACCACCTAGTTGTAGCCAATTTGAAACTGAAGCTAAAAAAGAACTGGAAAAGTGGACAAACAGCAATACAAAGGTTCAATACAGCCTTCCTTCGAGATACTGTCAAACTCAATGAATTCAAGATAGCTCTCAACAACAGGTTCCAAGCCTTACAAGATCTACTGAAAGAAGAAGAAACTACTATGGAGGACAACTGGAAAGGCATCAAGGAAGCATTAACTTCAACGTGTCAAGAGGTTCTCGGTCTAAAGAAATACCATCATAAGGAATGGATCTCTACGAAAACACTGGACAAGATCAAAGAAAGGAAGAACAAGAAGGCAGCAATAAACAACAGCCGAACACGAGAAGAGAAAGTCCAAGCACAAGCTGAATACATAGAAGCAAACAAACAAGTGAAGAGGAGCATTAGAGCCGACAAGAAGAAATACGTTGAAGAACTAGCAACGACGGCAGAAAAAGCTGCTAGAGAAGGAAACATGAAACAGCTTTACGATACAACGAGGAAACTATCAGGGAAATACAGTAAACCAGAGAGGCCGGTCAAAGACAAAGAAGGCAAGCCAATCACCGAAATTCAACAATAACGTAACAGATGGGTAGAATACTTCGAAGAGCTCCTGAATAGGCCGGCTCCAATGAATCCAGTGGACATCGAAGCAGCACACATAGATCTTCCTATAGATGTCAATCCACCAACTACGGAAGAAATTAGAATGGCCGTCAGACAAATCAAAAACGGAAAAGCAGCAGGACCCGACAACATACCAGCTGAAGCACTGAAATCAGACATCGAAACAACCACAAGCATGCTTTATCTTCTATTCAAAAAGATTTGGGAGGAGGAACAAGTGCCGATGGACTGGAAAGAAGGACACCTCGTCAAGATTCCAAAGAAAGGAGATCTGAGCAAATGTGAAAACTACAGAGGCATAACACTACTGTCAATACCAGGGAAGGACTTCAACAGAGTGTTGCTGAACCGGATGAAAGATGCAGTAGACGCCCAACTTCGAGACCAACAAGCTGGATTCCGTAAGGATCGGCCGTGCACAGACCAAATTGCAACACTACGGATCATCGTCGAACAATCAGTTGAGTGGAACTCATCATTATACATCAACTTCATTGATTATGAAAAGGCATTCGACAGTGTAGACAGGAGGACGTTATGGAAACTTCTTCGACACTACGGAATTCCTGAGAAGATTGTCAATATAATCCAGAACTCATACGACGGACTACAGTGCAAACTAGTGCATGGAGGACAGCTGACAGAAGCATTCAAAGTAAGGACCGGAGTCAGACAAGGCTGTTTACTCTCTCCCTTCCTCTTTCTTCTGGTGGTCGACTGGATTATGAAGACCTCAACATCTGAAGGAAAACACGGAATACAATGGACAGCTCAGAATCAATTAGACGATTTGGACTTCGCAGATGACCTAGCCCTCCTATCACGTACACACGAACAGATGCAGATGAAGACAGCTAGTGTAGCAGCAGTCTCTGCATCAGTAGGCCTCAGCATACACAAAGGGAAAACCAAGGTCCTCAAATTCAAAACGGAGAACAGCAATCCAATCACTCTTGATGGCGAAACTCTGGAAGATGTAGAATCCTTCACATATCTGGGAAGCATCATCGATGAACAAAGAGGCTCAGATGCAGACGTAAAGGCGAGGATCGGCAAAGCAAGGGTCGCATTCCTACAATTGAAGAACATATGGAACTCAAAACAACTTTCAACCAATATCAAAGTGAGGATCTTCAATACGAACGTCAAGGCAGTTCTACTGTATGGAGCTGAAACTTGGAGAACTACAACAACCACAATCAAGAAAGTACAAGTATTTATAAATAGCTGTCTACGCAAGATACTCAACATCTATTGGCCGGATACCATCAGCAATAGCCTTCTGTGGGAGAGAACAAACCAACTTCCAGCTGAAGAAGAAATTAGGAAAAGACGATGGAAATGGATAGGACATACATTACGCAAATCGTCAAACTGCATCACGAGGCAAGCCCTAACTTGGAATCCTGAAGGAAGGCGGAAAAGAGGAAGGCCAAAGAACACATTGCGTCGGATAATAGAAGCAGATATGAAAACGATGAATTACAACTGGACGGAGCTAGAAAGGATTGCCCAGGACAGGGTTGGATGGAGAACGCTGGTGAGCGGCCTATGCTCCTTCACGAGGAGTAACAGGCGTAAGTAAGTAAGTAAGTAAAAATACCTTTATAGTGACATTTCAGTAAAATAAAGCTTTACTCAGCATAAATGAGAATAGGTAGTGAGATTATATGAAGACTATAAAACGTAAAACGAATAAATAGCTGAAATGCTTGATTTTTGGGAAATTACATGAATGTTTCGAATCGTCAATTCATACGATATTAAGGATATCACTCGTTGAAAATTGATAACTAGCACAAAATCTAGGCTTGAAGCTTCCTGTTAATTGTCTATCGAACGCCTGGCAACGAACATGACTTATCTATTGGCAAGTAAGTTGGAAGTTCATATAAACTGAAAACGATATCGGAGGTGAACATACATTTCATAGGTGATTAGATGATGACGGTGAACTAATATCCCTATTCAAAATACTATAATAAAGTTAGGTGAGCAAATGTTTCATCTTGACTAAATTTTATTCTAAACGAACTATAGAATTAAAACTTAACAAACTGATTCATTAAATTGCAACTGTACCTTGGTATTATTCTATTAGTAACACAAGATTTGCAGAAAATTTCAGGTATGATAAAGTTTTCAAAGAATGAATTGAAAATAAGGATTTTAATATGCAATGTAACAAGTCTGTTCGATATTCTCAAAATATTCCTTAGACACACACACACACACAACATGTCAACCTGTCTTCAAAAATGTACCACCTATGAATTAATAACTTAAAGAAAAACAAAATCTAAAAATGATACAAATTTAGTAATAAAATGAAACACTATATGGATTGACTTTGATTGTTCTTTAAACTTCAAGATACTCTTATTGAGATAAATATACAATAAAATAAAGATTAAGTTGTGACAAAAAAACCTCACAAACTTGCAAACAATATTGAAACAAAGATTTATGAAAAAATTTGGCGTAATAATGAAAGAAAATAAGAGATGAGAATAACAAGTTTTAGCAGACATGAATTCAATGTTAAGAAAATTGAGGCTTGAATCTTAATGACAATATTTTGCAACATAATTAACAAATTAATATAAAAGTCTTTCATACATAGTGTCATCTCGAAAACCCTAATAGATATTTTTTATAATCTTTACTAAATAAACTAGGTAACAGCTTTTTTTAAAGAAAAGTAAGAAATAAGATAAGATGACAAACACGATAACCATGAGAGTATTGTCTAACCTGTCAAAGTTATCATCTTCCATCTAACACAAGTGCAACAATAATTTACAAACAACACTAAAACGGAAGTTTAAACATGAATATAGCAAAAACAACATACCTGTATTAAGCAAATATAACGTCGTATCCATTTTCGAAATGCTGTTCGACCTAATGCATATAAATAACCACAATGTTTTAGATTATTTGGTTTCTCCATACGCAATGTGAGTTGTAGTTGTAAGTCATCCGGTACATTTTTAGAAGTTTGTAATTTATACCATTCTGGTTGACGATTACCAGTACATGTAGGATTTAAGATAACCTAGAAAATAATATCGAGAATTTATATAAATAATGTCAACTCATAATAGTAACTATAAATGCAAATCAGCTATTAAATTATCTTAATATAATAAGCTTTGATGTATGCGTTCGATAATTTTGGTCTCGAAAATCTGATGTGTATTGTAGAATAAAGCATAATACTCTTTTAAAAGTCTACTGCTTTATTTATTGAGATATCACAAAAATAGTTGCGTTAAGTAATTAATGATATAAAGAGTGATACAAGAAAAGGACCAAGCGGATTTTTTTTTCAGTAACTTTGTTATAAGAAGCAGGCTCTCAGTTATATATATATCACCATTTTGGAGTTAATTTTTCGCAGCTAGATGGTTCAATTGAGAAGCTTTCCATTGTCATTCTAGACGACATCTTCAGTATTTTTATACGACGCAGGAGACCATATACCAATCGCTATTAATAAATAAAACGGTAAAATTGATTGCAATTATACACAAAAAATATATCTAAAATTCACCTCATGATACTGTAAAGAAACATCGTTAATAATTACAATAAGATTGTAAAACACAATGTTGATTAAATATTCCTATTCGATTACAGCATTAAAGACAATAATTAGGGAAAATATGTTATTTTAAGATGCGACATCGCTGTTATTGAGTGTTCTACTTACGAAATCATCTAATTAAGTGACAGAGTTATAGAAAAGGAAATATACACTATGAACCATCCAGATTATTATTACAGTTAAAATGTATCGAGAGCGTAAATCTCAAGCTTAAAGGAAAAATATGCAGACTAATGCATGGAGTGACAGAAAAGTATCAACGTTCTCACTTTGGACTCCACATATGGATTATGCGTGAATCTTTTGTAAAAGCCGTAACGATTAACTACTCTCCGACGATTTAATTAACTTTATCTGCCCATTACATTTACATGTGGAAAAATAAATATTGTTAGAGTAGCCTTTGCAAATGTTTTACTTACGAATTGAGCAGA